TGAAATAATAAAGACTTAGAAATAGGTATGTAATTTCTAAATTATAAATAACCCACAGTAGAAAACACAGAGATTTGCCACGGTGAGAAACACATTTTGCTTGAGAGGTTTGTGTTTGTGTCAGTGATAAACACCATAAAAAGTCGATGGTTATTTTCCCGATCTCTGGTAAAAAATCGTCTCATTTGTTGTGGAATTTTCCCCGACGGAGGAGCTCAGAGGGAAAAATTTAAGAAAACCAAACTTCTTACACTACGTCTTCACACCGATCTCGTGTCTTTGATAGTTGTCAGTTTTATTTACAAATAGTGTTTTTTTTATTGGTTTAATTCACAAAAACAAAATATCCGTAAATCTGAGAAAAAACAGTTAAATAATTTGTGAGGACCCTACATACGTTCAATTAAAATAAATTAAAAATGCAGCCAATAAAAATTACTGTTCTTTTTTTATGATAGTTTATTGAGGAAATTAATGGGATGCTTCCTTAACTTATTTACTATTACTGCTTCTAGTTTGAAAATAATTTTCGGCATCTTTAGAGAACATGTCACATATGTCCAAATTAGAAAAAATTTATATCAAAGGAAATATAGTACATTTTATACATGTGTAATTCTTCTTGCGCTTAATTTGCTTAATAAGCCTTTGGAACGGGGATCATTTTGATGTTGAGTGTTTCCAGGTGCGCCCGAAGATGGTGACCCCGTGTAAAGCGTTTACCACAAATGCCGCACTATTTAAAAATTTAATATGCCTAAAAATACCGTACTGAAAACTTTCTATATACATACCTAAATGGTTTTTCTCCAGTGTGTGTTAGCATTATGCGCTTTTAAAACCCCTTGAATACGTGAGAAATTTTTGCCACAGATATCGCAATTGTAAGGCCGTTCATTTCGGTGCACCCTAAATTAAAATGCAATTAAGATTCCTTAGTTTTTTAATGAATTTTACCTCTCATGATCAATCCTAGGAACGAGAAGCAAATTTACGATTCGCAATATCGACACGCGATGGTCGCTCTCCAGTATGTGTGCGTATATGTCGTGTCAATACACATTTAAGATGAAACGAATTACCACAAATTCTATAAGTTGGTAAAACTTGAATAGGATTTCTCTAAATCAACGTACCTATACAGCTGAGTTCTCAACTTGACTTACTCGCATTCGTAGATGCGCTCATTTCGTGACGCCTCATATGCACCTGAAGCTCATGATTTCGGGGATATATATTCCGCAGATTTCACAAATATGAATCCGTTTCTCTTTCTTGATTTTCTTTGTCTCGAGTTTTATTTTTTACCTTTCTTTTGGTGTTCTGGTAAGTGGGCGACGGTTGAGTCGATCCTGGATTCTGTGAACTATCGCCATAATCTTCGATAATTAAACTGTCATCCACTCCTTCATCAAGCATGGCGTTTCTAGTAAATTCCTCTTCATATTAATATCATGTTGCGATTCATTACGGGGGTGCTTCTAGCATTTAGTACTTCTGTTTTTCATACTGTATTCCTGGATTATTGGCTGGTTTTCTTCATTTTTGTTGGGTTTAGAGGATTTGCAGACAAATTTTCGTAAATAATGTCGGAATTTTTGCATATAATTCGAAATTTTGAGCAATTATAGAGAAAAGCTTGCACTTCTTGCATATGTTTGCAGGAAGTTTCGGCTTTAATTTTATTTATTTTAGTTTGTATACTTACAAATCTACTTACTCGCATTCATGCGGTTTCTCCTTGGTGTGTATCCTTAGATGCAATGTCAATTTTGCCTTCTCAGTGTAAACATTGCCACAAAAGCTGCATATATAATTACTTGGTGCTTTCTTCGCCCACTCATTCGAAGAATCACCCCCGTACCTTGATTTATTCTTTTGTGAAGGCTTCTTAATATTAGATATTTTTCTTCGACCACGTGTAACTTGTGATTTAACCGATACAGTTTTCGTGCTAATTTCGAATTCATGGTCATTTCTTTTTGATTTTTCTTCATGTAAATTTTCTGCTTGTGGTTCATCATAAAAGAATTTGTTAATAGGTACATCTGAACTGAGCGTTTCCTCATGCTTTAATACTTCAAATTGTGAGTTTGAATAGTAAGTAAGCTCATCGGAATTGGCTGCAGAGTTATCTTCTAAAAACGCCATACGATCGTTGTCAAGTTCACCAAACTAGAGGAATCGAAAGTAAATTTAAGTGTTTGTACATTGTATATCGATACATCTAAAATATTCATGTTTTCGTATGGATTGCTTATTATTGTTATCTTCTTTAAAAAAGTTATGAACATATTTAATTATGTGTACTTATATACATATATGGCATTTAGTCAACTACTTAATTAATCTAAATAATTTTTGTTTGTATATTTCACAATTTTTTTTTTCTTGTGCATATGTATGTACATATATCAACACCTGAGTGGACCTATCTCGGCAGCCAGTTCGAAAATGCCCTACTTCAGAATTTGAATGAAGAACGCCCTATTTCAGAATTTTATTGAAAAACGCCGTCTCAGAATTTGGTTGAAGAACGACCCATCTCAGATATCAAAAATGCCCTATCTCAAATGAAAATGTATTGAAAATGTGGTGCTATAGGGCGTTTTTGAATCGGCAGCTGAGATAGGGCGTTTTTGAACCGAATTCTGAGGTAGGGGTTTCTTCAATAAAATTCTGAGATAGGTCGATGTTGTTGTTGTAGCAGCATACAAATTCCCCAAAGACTTTTTGGGGAGTGTTGCTGGAGTGACAGTCCTTGGCCAGATATAAATCTGGGTCGTTCCGGTTACGTAGACCCGACTGTCGTGGGAACGGGTCTAAGAATAAACGTTTGCTTGTCGTATGTGACAATTGCTTTATAGAGAACGTTATATACGTATGTATGCAAATTAAATTCACTTAAAAAACATATTATTTTTAATCGTTTCAGCCATTCGTTTTGTGTTTAGGTTTTGTCATATATGTAATACTTCTATATTGGTAGTAAGCTAACATCTCAATGTGTAAGCATTCCGAAATCAAAGAGAGACAGTCTAGTCATGATAAAAACACAGCAAGGTATAACCGTTCTCTCAATTTGTCGGCCATGATTTTTTTTTTAAGTTTGCCAACATTTTAAAATCATATAANAAAACTTTGTTTTACCATTGAACCATTAGTATAAATATTAGGGGTCTTCATCAAAAGTGACAAACTCTTGATTAGTAATAGAACGATACGAGTACCGAGTACAGAATATCGATACTTTTCATTAGTACTGAGTAGTATCGAGGACTCGATACTTTTTGACAAGTACTGAGTAAATATCGCGAATACCGAAAAGTATAGACGTTTTAAAAACTTGATTAGGTAATTTTTTTTTTTCAATTACATTGAGAAAGGTTTCAAAATTATCCCATGGGCATAACGTTCATTGTTAGATCAGACTTCAATGCAATGCCTATTCAATTTACAAAAAGAAAGAGGTCATATGTATATGTAACAGAGCAATCTGATTTTTGTTAACTTTTCGCGTTTGCCCTAAAAATACTTGGAAGTACGAGTATTATCGATACTTTTTTGCAAATATGAGTACTGGCATCGATTCTTTTTTAGTGTATTATAAATGAGGACTAGTATCGATACTTTTCTAAAAAGTTCTATCACTAACTCTTGATAAACTTGATAAGGTGAAAAATTTATCATTTTAATATACGAACTGTCAAACTTTGTATGCAAATATATTTAATCAAACAGATTTGATGGATAAATGTATAAATTTTAGCAAAATTCAACGCTTACAGGTTGCCAGGTATTCGTTTTTGCTACGAACACACAAAAGCAAATGAACACAATGTACAAGGTAGGAATGAAACGAAACTAGTTAAATAATAAACAGTTTTTTGCAATTATTTACCAAGGCGCGTGCATNGCAAATGAACACAATGTACAAGGTAGGAATGAAACGAAACTAGTTAAATAATAAACAGTTTTTTGCAATTATTTACTAAGGCGCGTGCATAAAAGAAAGCGGACAAACTGATAAATTTAAACAATCTATCGCTTTAGATGAAGACCCCTATTAAGATTTATGTAGTGCAATCGATAGTTCGTCGATTGTTCTTTACTGTTCCATTTTTAACGTTTGTTTGTTTATACCATATTCTGACCGATATCGAAAACATGTTTTCGTTGCTAAAACTGGTTTTCGACTTAAAACTCGTGTTTTCGTCCATGTAAAATCTATCAAACGAAAACCAGTTTTCGCTGAAAACTACTTGAAAACTCACGTTCCACTCATTCCAATCGGTGTCTTCACTAGTTTTTTTTTCGATTATTTATCGAAGTGAAAGTCATATTTTATCATCTTTAATACGCCATTTCGGATTTATTTTTAATTGGCTGGCAAAAGTAAAATAAGAATGAAAGTAAGAGGTTGCTAATGAAAAGAAAATGAGGGAGAAGCATTTTGGTTTTGTTTTTGTGTAGCAAAACTGTAATCAGAGGATGTAAGAAATGTCAATGAAAACACTAACAGCCGGTGTGAACAGCCTTCAGCCCACACTCCCAAAACACGTTTTCAAAGTGTTTTCGTTGTCGGTCAGACCATGGTATAATGGACTTCTTGCGAAAACATCGATGTTTATTCTAAACAGCTCATATAAAGACATCGATTCATCGATATTTCTTTCCATCGATGTTTCTCCAGCTCTAATAATTATGACATTTCCTTTTTTATAAATTTTAGCAGAATTTTCGTAACAAATTAGATCTAATTAAGTTTTTATATGGTGAAAACTAATGATGAAATAATAAAAGGTGTTATTGCATCATGCTGAAAATTAAACTGGATTTGGACGCGCCGACAACGGTATGCCGCATCTGTCTTCAAAGCGGAGAAGAAATGACATCTATCTTCGACAAGGATGCAGATTCTGTGTATCTATACAAAAAAATCGAGAGTTGTGGAGGCATAAAGGTAATTAAACCTATAATTAATTCTAGATAATTACTATGCCAGGCCAATAAATAATAAAGACCAAATTTAATAAAATAACGATGAGTTTGGTGTGAAATATAAATATTATATTTTCATGTTTATGAAATATGTAGATAAACTTTAATTTACAATGACGTATGTATTTAAAACACGAAATTACCCAACAGATCCTTACCGAGCCGAAACTTCCTACAAATATATGCAAGAAGTGCAATGCTTTCCTAATAATTGCTCACAAATTCCGAATTATATGCAAAAATTCCGACGATTATTTACGAAAATTTGTCTGCAAATCCTCTAATCCCAACAAAAATGAAGAAAACCAGCCCCAATATATCCAGGAATACAGTGAAAAAACAGAAGTACTAAATGCTGAAGAACCCCCCGTAAATGAGTCACAACCTGATATTAAATATGAAGAGGAAATTTACTTAGAAACGCCCATGCTTGATGAAGGAGTGGATGACAGTTTAATTATCGAAGATTATGGCGATAGTTCACAAGAATCGCAGGATCGACTGCAACCGTCGCCCACTACCAGAACACCAAAAAAAGTAAAAAAGGTAAAACTAGCAGAGACAAAGAAAATCAAGAAAGAGAAACGGATTCATATATGTGAAATCTGCGGTAATATATATCCCCGAAATCATGAGCTTCAGGTGCATATGAGGCGTCACCGAAATGAGCGCATCTACGAATGCGAGTAAGTCAAGTTGAGAACTCAGCTGTATAGGTACGTTGATTTAGAGAAATCCTATTCAAGTTTTACCAACTTATAGAATTTGTGGTAATTCGTTTCATCTTAAATGTGTATTGGCACGACATATACGCACACATACTGGAGAGCGACCATTCGCGTGTCGATATTGCGATCGTAAATTTGCTTCTCGTTCCAATAGGATTGATCATGAGAGGTAAAATTCATTCAAAAAAACTACAGGAATCTTAATTGCATTTTAATTTAGAGTGCACCGAAATGAGCGGCCTTATAATTGCGATATCTGTGGCAAAAATTTCACGTATTCAGGGGTTTTAAAAGCGCATATGCTAACACACACTGGAGAAAAACCATTTAGGTATGTATTAGAAAGTTTTCATCGGTAGTTTTGGGTAGGCATCCACTTTAAATTTTTAAATAGTTGCGGCATTTGTGGTAAACGCTTTACACGGGGTCACCATCTTCGGGCGCACCTGGAAACACTACAACATCAAAATGATCCCCGTTCCAAAGTGCTTATTAAGCAAATTAAGCGGCAAGAAGAATTAAACACTGTATAAAAATGTACTATAATTTCCTTTGATATACAAGCATATTTTTGCTAATTTGGAATTTGACTGCCCGGAAAATTATTTTCAAACTAGAAGCAGTAAGCTAAATAATTAGTTAAGGAAGCATCCATTTATTTCCTCAATAAACTTTATCATAAAAAAAGAACAGTAATTTGCTATTGGCTGCATTTTCAATTTAATGTAAACGCCTACATACATGTAGCGTAATTTGTAAAAGGAGATTAGTCAAGTTCAAACACAGGAGAAATACGCTAGGATTGAAAATAGTAACAATTTACTTAAGACGTTATATTTTAGAAATCCATGAAACCAAATCAAATAAATATCCCAAGTGGTTTATTTATTAACTAAAAATTAAATAACAAAATATACCCAATAGTTTAGTTGTCTATTAGGTGCTGATTAAAATTTAAGTATAGTCAGTAGAATAATCATGAAGATTGGAAGGTCGAAATCATTAACATTTTTCCATTCAAAAGTTTTTGTAAATTAAAATAATTGCATTTTTTTCTATATTTTAACTCCCAATCTTTTTTTTATGTAGTAGATGATTTGTTCTCTTATTTAAAACGCAATGTTTTCCTTTAAAATTTCTCAATTCACTGTTGTTTTTCGTATATATGTATGTGGTATTTTTGTTTTATTTGCACAGCAAAAAGAACACTGTTGTAACGGGTAGCAACCATGACAAGCTATTTACTTGCTCAACATACGCATTTTATCTTTGATCAAATTTCGGAGTTCTGTAACCATAAGCTCATGTGATTCTTTGAAGATTGATGCCACGTCGCCTATGAGCGTTGCTTCTACTTCTGGCTTCAGTGACATGTCCGCCATAAAGGAATTCAGCTCCCGCGGCAACATTGGGGTCTTCCAATTAGCTTTATGAAGAAAGAAGTCAAGAATTTACTTTTTTTAATATTTACTTTAATCAGATCACTTACTAATGGCAGTTTCGCAGTTTTGAAATTGCTTTTTCAAATGACGCATCAACTCAACAACTAACTGGCTACGTTCTTTTTCATGAATTACATTCACATCGCTATTTTCCTGCCCCGGTCTTTTCCGTGGCTTGCTCTTTCCTGGTTGTTGCAACTTTTCATAGATCATCGACAGAAGAAAAGCGAACAGAGACAGTATCTGAATGCAAATGAATAAAAAAAAATAGTCACATAGTATATTTATCCAGCTATTTCTATTAGCGAGCTTATACCTCTACACAGGCTGCGACCTTGTTTTGCCATTCACGTCTCCGCCAAAGGCCATCCATCGCTGCGTCACTCTCCGATATGACTTGTGTGCAAAGTTGCACAATTTTAGTCGCGTTGTCACTAACTATTTTGCATTGTATAGGCAGATTGGCGGCTCCGGTGTACAGATCCAGAATAAGCTGCGCCACCGAACTAAAGAACTCTTCATACGGCACTTCAAGCAACAGATGCAATCGGGTCGGCAGCAGATTGACTAGATAACGATTCGACAATGGTTTGTAGCTCATGAGACGCAGACGCTGAAATAGACCAGACCATGACTCGCGCAGCAGCTCGATCGTGTCAGTTTCTCTAATGGTTTCCACATCGTTTGTTATGTTATTTTGATTGTTACTATTGCTATTAGCGGTTTTTTGATTACCCTTTGCCGAATTTGTTACATCCAAGTTCGTCTTCTGATAGAAAATGTCTACAAACGATGCCACTAGCCGCAGCAGTAGTTGACGTATTTGTAGCACTTCCACTTCCTGGTCGAAGGACTCCTTGCGATCTTCCTCTACGTTAACCAAATGCACGGGGTCCCAGCGTATCAATGCGCCCAAATCGCGATTGTCGGAAAGTTCATGCCATGAAATGCGATCGTCGGCAGGTTCAATGCTCATCGCAGTGTATGTTGCTAGATTCTGTCGCACATTGCCATATAGCATAACAAGATCACACAGTTGCGCCTCTATAGAGGTGCTCACATAATGAATGCTATTGGTAAGACGCTCTTTAAAGTTCATAAACTCTTCCAATTTGGAAAAGGTACAGAAACGATATGTCAATGTTATGTATTCCAAGCGCTCCTTATAGCTGTTGGTGAAAAACTTTAAGGTGGCGTCAAAAACGGTGCGTGCCATGGAGAATCGGCCGCTCAGTGGCAATAAATTGCAATGGATATAGCTCATTGAGTCAAGTTGTATCTGCTTAATGTCCAAGTAATCGTACATTTCTTGTGCACCCAACATACAGCCGAACATGTGATAAATCTTTAAACTAAGCAGTTTCACATGGAAATTGCTTGTGCTATTACGAAGCACATATTGTAGCAGGCAAAGAGCCTCAAAGATCCGGTCTGATTTTTCTTCTCTTAAACTAACATCGTACATGACATTTGCGGCCAACAGCGCGTATGGGTCGGATGGACCCATATCGGTATGCAGCAAGTTCTTCCCGAAAGAACTCAATCCATGCTCATAGTGTAATTTCAGAGCGGTATAAAAAGCTAGCAAGTGATCTGTTTGCAAGTCTAGATGTGAACCACAAATGCGTGAAATCTGTAAAGCACATATGTGCTTTTGCATTTGTTCTTTCTGAAATACATCACATTATAATCTATACCAATTGAAAATATAAAATACTTCGGACTTACATTCTGTGGCAAAGTCGTGGAACTAATGCCACTTTCCAGCAGTAGTTTAGTAGCTACGTGCTGTCGCGCCTCCATGCTGATGGAGGGCAAGAAGAGCGCAATGTCGTGTGTGCAGCATGGCTTATCGCCAAATAAACGGAAATATTCAATGATTAGCTCAGCAAAATCACCAAGCAGAGCTTCTGCATCCATGCCTTCTGCGCGCATGCGCTTATGGAGCTCCAGGCGTGCAAGATATGGACCACGTACTTTGCGCTCAGCGGACTCAATCATCTAAAGAATTATATTTAATAAACATAAATAGTTAAAAGGTGCGAAATTAGCAAACCTGGCATAGAAAATCGTGGCACTCGTCTAATGTATTTAGTCCACCTGTTTCCTTTTGGTCATCTGTTTTCTCCTCCGGCGAATCTAGTGAATTTTCCTTTTGCAACTCAAAACAGCTTCCTAAGTAGTCCTGATAGTAGTCCCAACGGTCACGTCTTGCAAAAAAATATGTTAAACCATACAATTTTGAATCAAAAGATGGTGCTAATAAGTAGTTTATCAACCTAAGGCTAAAAACATAGTGAAGCGGCGAGCAAAGCGACGAGCTAGCATCGAGCAAAGCTCTAGGCTTTGCTCTTCAATATGCGCGCTCCCATTGAAACATATACGTTTGTAATCGACGCTTTGCTCGATGCTCTTTGGTTACCGCTCCACTATGTTTTTAGCACATACTTAGACATATCGGACATCTGCTCCAAGAGTCTCATAATCCAAAAAATCAGAAACTCGAGAAAAACGGCTTTTAAGTTTTGAATATGTAGTNCCGCTCCCATTGAAACATATACGTTTGTAATCGACGCTTTGCTCGATGCTCTTTGTTACCGCTCCACTATGTTTTTAGCACATACTTAGACATATCGGACATCTGCTCCAAGAGTCGCATAATCAAAAAAATCAGAAACTCGAGAAAAACGGCTTTTAAGTTTTGAATATGTAGTAAAAGTGAATACATACCCAATAAACATGTGGTGAACGTTCGAAAATGGCCTTCGATATCCAATATGAATATCGAAATGACAACGAACTCATAACTAACCTTAAGTTTTCCAGCGTTTATAGTATATTGCAAATACACTCGAAATGGGTCGAAAAAAATGAGATCCATAGTAAAAAGATAGAAAGTGAAATCCAGCTCATTTTCGAAGGGGTAATAAGACAATCACTCTCCTCATTAAAATTTCAATGGGCTGGATTTCGAANCTCGAAGGGATAAATAAGACAATCACTCTCCTCATTAAAATTTCAATGGGCTGGATTTCGAATTAATAACGAAGGGAAAATGCATTCGATAGCGAAGGTTCCCTTTTGCTGAAGAATGTCCTAGTTCTCGGATCGAATACCATCCATTTCGAAATTCGTTATCGAAGGTGAGACTTAAAAAAATGTTAGTTTTCAAATCATTTTGGAATTGTTAACCAAGCTTAATGTTTATTGGGTATTTTGTTCTAATAAGCTATTGATAATCAGTCTAGTTATGAAATTTTTACAAAACTTAGAAGAACAGATAACGGGCGTTCCCACGACAGTCGGGTCTACGTAACCGGAACGATCCAGATTTAAATCTGGCCAAGAACAAACTGTCACTCCAGCCACACTCCCCAAAAACACTTAGGGAATTAGTATGCTGTTACAACGACAACAGGTAGCGGGCATTTCCGCATACTTGCAGAAAATGTGCGATATGTACATCTGTATAGAGTTATTTACGAAATATTCCAATTTTTATCTTCACTTACTCATCATTCAATAAATCTTTAAGCAGCGTATTTGTCTCTTGCCACATTTTTAACTGTTTTAGCAAATCAATTTTCATATAGACGGGAGCTCCCGGATACAATTTTTCACAAAGCGCGCCGTTAAGGAATTCCAATGCCTCTTTAAACTTTGCTTGTAACTTTAAAATATGCAAATAAAGAAAAACTTCTTGTTCCGACTCGAGTTTGTTTTCATTGATCATTTTTTCAACCATGCGCTGCGCGAGTGCTAAATAAATTTTGGTTTTTTCAGGAAACTTGCTTTCTGGGCCACGTATTCCCTGCAAATAAGCATATATGTATGCATGTAATTAAAAAGAAAAAGCCACAGAATTCTATATTTATACACATAAAAAATATTTT